TTTACAAGATCAAATGCTCTGATTGCAATGCAGAATACGTTGGTCAGACAGGGAGAGCTTTTTCCACTAGGATAGCAGAACATAAAAAGGCAATTGACAAATATATTAACTCTGATATTATCAACACTACATCTTCTTTCGCAAACCATGTTCTCGAGAATAAACACAAACATAATATAGTAGAAGATTTTGAAGTTCTACATGTTCATCCTAAAGGAAAAAAGCTTAACCTTCTGGAAATTCTAGAAATCAATAGATCTGCCCATTCAAATTCAACTGTTTGTCTTAATGAACAAGTTGGATTTGATTGCCTATCCACTTTCAATTCCATTTTGTAATCTTCCTCTCCATTCATTGGTTGCATTGGCAATCCCTTTGTTCAACGTTGTTATTCCTAATTCAAAAAACACAATTTTAAATACTCGACTTAGTCAATCTAGACACATTTCCTTGTTTGTTATGAATTTTGATGTATGGTCCATTAAGTCAACTTCAATGTTTTGTGTTTTTGATAGATGACATTTGTCACTTGTTTCAAATCAAGTAGTCTGTCGGTTTGTTCACTTAATAACCGCGCCATTTGCTGTACACAATGTTTATCTGATCCAAAAGAAGCATCTTAGGAAAAATTTTTATTTGGGGGTTCAAAAAACCAAAATTCAAAAATGTTGCTTAAAATTATTTTGGACTTAAAACCCTTAAGAACTATGTTCTCGATTTTATAGTTTCTTTTCTCCTCCTACCTAGCAAGGTATGTCACGCATTTTCCAATAGTGATGTAACTTCTTTCATTTATAAGTGTTGTATTTTAGCCTGATGATGACTCCTAGGAGTCGAAACATGTAGCATATATGATTTGATTATAATTTACTTGGAGCGAGACTGTGAGTTTGTTCTCTTAATTATCTCATCACCTCCAATTTGAGCATGGACTACTACCAGAGAAAAAAAATATGAAAGCAGAAGTAGCAGTGCTCTTGGATTTTTTGAAAAATCCCACCAACACTATGACAAAATTCACCAAGCAAGAATTGCAGTACATTCCAGTAGAATTTCTCATCGAATTTGCAGATCCTTGTGGACTATTAGAGGTGTGGTACAAACTTCCTCAAGAATATTGTCGCAACTTTAACCTAAAAATCAAGCTGCCATGCTTTGTACATCATAATCGTCCCAATCAGCAGACACACTATGACAGTGCACCGCCTTCTCAAGAAAAATGCCATCTCTGTAGAAAAGCTTTATTATAAGATATTAATTATTTCGATGATATTGGCATGTTTTTTTTAATTTTTCTATCCTTGCACTCCAAATATCAAATCGACGAAACGTCATCCGTCAAACGTCATCTGTCGTACGTCATATGTCGTACGTCATATGTCGCTACGCCATTGCCAAAACGATGAAATGCAGATTACGGAGCACAATATCCGATTTTTTCAAACGTCCGGCAACGTCGACATGCTAGCGCCAGCCGCGCTCTCTTCAGCATCCAGCCTGCCATATCGCCGCTTACCAAACTCCAAACTCGTACACAAATTCGTATAGTGGCATGGCGCTATGGTAGCGTTTCGGACTCGCAGTCCGGTGGCCGGGGTTCGATTCCTCGCCGCCCGCACAGCCCGACTTTTTTTTATTCATTATATTCCCATCCAATATTATTTGAATTTGCCGCCGCCAAGTTGCAGACCGCAGCCACAGCGACACTAGCAAAACTAGCGACTCTAGGGAGTATTTTTGGAACCCGTGTTTTAGAATTCTTCTAGCCCCTACTACTGATAGGGGTTGTTCCCTTACTAATTTTTCTGCTAGGCTCAGATCAGGCCGAGTCTTGATGTGGAAGCCCTTGTGTCACTACGGTTAATGACAGTCTCTAGTAACTCAAAGTGAGTTACCGAGTGCTAACTTTGCCGTTCCTTGCTTTCCACACCTAGACACGTAGACAAGATCTAACTGCTGGGTTTTGAGGCCTTATAGCTGCCTGAAAAGCCGGCAGGCTATAAGATTTCGAAGTCGCTGCTTTCTCTGGAATAAATACAGTGTTAGTAAATATACAAAGAAAAATAAATTTATTGAAATTATCGGTATTCAATTGGGCTGGCTCAGTTATTGACCGGTCGGCTCAATCATTAATACAATATAATTACGAAGTAATAATCGCTGGTTGATGATCGCTGGGGTAATCGCTCGATAATCGCTCGATAATGAGATACTAGATTTCGGCTAACACATTGAGCGGTTGGCTAAATCGCAGGTAACTCAGGTAGTGTTGACTGTTTCGAGGCAGATCGAACACTGGGTGATATGTTATTGAATTTAATATTGATGCGAATATATGGTCCAAACAAGAGCCGGAATTGCCTTGTACTTTAGTTATTTCATTGATAGTTGATACAAAATTATGTTCATTGAGTATATTCAGGTATTCATGAGTTGTATCGTTTTCATCGAGTATATTGATGTTAAAGTATCCTAGGAAAATATTACAGTGTTTTTTGTTCAAATGATTCTCTATGTAATGTTTCAAACTCTGATTGAAATTGTTGGGGCAAGATGAAGAAGATCTATATTTAATTTGATTTTCACCTTCACAGCTGTTACCTCATATATTTGACAAATTTCATATTGATGATTATAGTGGTCCTTTATATACAGTGTGGTCCAACGAAAACTTAACACCTCTATTTTCCGGCTTTAAAATGAAAATGTGGAAAATCACTCGAACCCGTCAATTTCTAATACGAGGGGGAACAACTTTTCCGCTGTTTTCATCCCCGTAACTTCAACCCCCTAACGGGGGTGAGCACAACCCCTTGATTTTGAATAGGGATGAGGGGTGTTGAGATACCTCATTTTGAAGATCTTATCGTGTACTATCTGACCGTAAAATTTCACTTCAAAATATCCATCGATAATGAAATAACAGCGAAAATAGTGAAAGAGGCAATATGGAATTTATCTCGAGAATATTATTCGTATCCGACGCATTTCAAAGGTATTGAGTGGTTAATTTTTTGTCCAAAAAAGTAGACGGACCTTGTTTTTGTACCTTAGTCTATCGTGAATTGTTAAGAACGGTACAAGTGTGTCCAAGCGATTGTAAATTTGTAGTGGAATTAAAATGGTGTATTCCGTAGAAGAAAGGGTGGAAATGATAAAATTATTTTTCCGAAATAACGACTCTGCGCGCACAACAGCGGCTTTATTTAACGAACGACATCCTGGAAAAAATGTATCCGCTGCTTACGTTGTGCAACTGGTTGCCAAATTTGACGCTACTGGTTCAGTTGGAAACAGAAAGAGGGTGCATGAAAGAGACGAAGCGAGGGACGTGGCTGTCTTAGGTCATATAGCAATGGATCCGACCGTTAGTACTAGGAAATTGTCCGATGTATCTGGTGTTTCACGCACAACAATCATGAGAATCCTGAAACAACATAAATTCCATCCGTATAAAATACGATTGGTTCAGGAACTGAATGAGGATGATCCCGATCGCCGACTCCAGTTCTGTGAAGTGATCAGTGAAATAATTAACGGCAATCAAAACTACATGTTCGATATCTGTTTTTCGGACAAGTGTTCATTTTACCTTAACGGCATTTTAAACCGGCATAACTGTCGGTATTGGTCAGATGAAAATCCACGATTATTTCGTGAGGTGTATACACAGCGCCCCCAAAAATTAAATGTTTGGGCGGGTATTTATGGAAATCACATAATCGGCCCTTTTTTTCTACCCGGTAATCTCACAGGCCAAATTTATCTTGATCTATTGGAGAACGCTATTTATCCAGCCCTCGTGCAAGTATTGGAGAATGCAGAAGACCATCAAACGATCATTTTCCAACAAGATGGCGCACCACCTCACTTTGTTCAACCGGTGCGTCAGTTTTTAGATGACAATTTTCCTCACGCCTGGATTGGAAGAAGGGGACATATTGAGTGGCCACCCAGATCACCTGATCTGGCTCCACTGGACTTTTTTCTATGGGGTCACCTGAAATCCAAGATTTACGCTACCCAGCCTGAGTCACTGGATGATTTGCGAACTCGGATCATTAATGAATGCCGTCAAATTACACCAGAAATCTTGAGTAATGTAAGTGAACGTTTTCAGCAAAACTTATATTACTGCATGGAAGTGGATGGTGCCCATTTCGAACATTTAATAAAGTAATCACAAAAGTACGTACTCTTCCACTATTTTACCTGTCATTTCGTTATCGATGGATATTCTGGAGCGAAATTTCACGGTCAGATAGTACACGATAAGATCTTCAAAATGAGGTATCTCAACACCCCTCATCCCTATTCAAAATCAAGGGGTTGTGCTCACCCCCGTTAGGGGGTTGAAGTCACGGGGATGAAAACAGCGGAAAAGTTGTTCCCCCTCGAATCAGAAATTGACGGGTTCGAGCGATTTTCCACATTTTCATGTTAACGCCGGAAAATCGAGGTGTTAAGTTTTCGTTGGACCACACTGTATACAACAACTCCATCGTTCTGATTGAGATTCCCTTCACTGTAAATAAGTTTATAACCAGCAATATTATACAAACGTGTGTCTCGGATATTCCAAGTCTCCGTCAGAACGATGCAGTCGATGTCTTTTTCAAATTCAGCTAATAAAATTTCGAAATCTTCGAAGTTTTTTGATATTTTTGTGAAGTATGTATTCTGAAATTTGCATTAAAATTCAATGTTTTATTACATTCTTCGGTAGTTTCACATATAATAGTGTTTGGTATATTGTCTTTGAAATCTCTTATAAAACTATCCATGATGTGGTCCACTTATGAATAAACTTATATGAACAAGATATTTGCAAATAATCAAAAACGTTTAGACGATGAATTATGTCTTGTATTTGGGCGTTCGCTGGTGTTTTCCTTGATTGTTTTATTTATTGTACCTGTTTTTGTGGTGTTTCGGGGTTTTTGTGACACTTCCACAGTTTTTTTTTTCGAAGATATTTCGATACTTCGAGGTTCTCTTACACTTTCTTCCTTTTGGGTTTGTTTTCTTATAAACACCGGTGTACCAGGGTCACTTTCTGCTTCTGCGACTTCGAAAATATCTTCGGTTGCTTTTAATTCTGCAGCTGTATAGATTCTATTTCTGACAATCAGCTTGTTGTTTTTTATATAGCAATTTTCTTCGTTCTGTCTAGCGAGATATAGATGTTTCCTTAAAATATTCGCTTCCTCTCTCTGTTTAGGTGTCAGGTCGTTCGCTATGTGTATTTGAGTTCCCTTCAACTTACTGGCCTTCTTCAGAATCAAAGACTTCTTTAGATATGGAGTGAATTCAATTTTTATTGGTCTTTTACTTACCTGTTTTTTCCAAGGAATACACGTTGTTCAGATCGGATTCTTCTAAGTTGATATCTAATAAGTTTTTGAAATTATCAATGGTTTCAACTGCACTAATCAAATCGTTCTCGTTTCTTTCCAGACCGAAAACTACTATGTTATTTTCGTTCTCTGCGTTTTCGAGGTATTCAATGTTGTTCTTCAGTTCTTGATTTTCTCTCTCAACTTCTTCAACTTTGTGTTTCATTTCCTTTACTTTAAGAGAAATCCTGACTTCAACTGCCTCTATCGTTGCTTCCAGTTCTTTATTACACCTGAACATCTCTTCCAGTATTTCTTTGTTTGTGATTTCGGAACCGCTCATGTTCAACGTATACGGTCTGCTTTATGTTGGATGGTATAGTTTCAGGCAAAAAAAACTATGTTAATTGATGATAACAGTGGTATGACTCTGTACTTCCTTTTGTTCTTATTTATTCAATATATGGTCTTGCAATTTTATTTCGGTAAGCCTTGAGTTGTGTTTCGGAATTTATGTTATATCTGCTTACACGCTAGCGTGTGCGTTGCTCGTTTTGGTGTAATAAAAATAGCTGTAACGTACCAAAAACTTGCAATTTCATCAGCTCGACACTATACACTTCTATACTGCTATAGCTAACCATTCATTCTGTGATTCCTCGTGTATTTATATATGTTCTTTCATAAGTAGGAAAGAGATTTATTCATTAGATATTGTTTTTTCTTGATCATTATTCAATCAAAAACTCATAGTTACGATACACATGAAATATACTTGTGAAAAAAAAACGATACATCTATTCCACTGTGGAATAAAAGGTTGACAATACCAAGAATGAGGAAAGTTAGATTACTGAATACTGATGTGGAAGATTATCATAAAAATGATGGCATTCTTTGGGTGGAACTTCTTTCAGCTGTTGAAGACGTTGCCATTTAGTATTTTTCATCTCAATAGGATTAAAACTCATTTGTTTAACACAACTGAACTAAAAACAATGCTACTATATGCTAACTATATTTAAAAATGATGAATAAACTTCAACATAAATAATAAAGAACGAGCAAGAACAAAATATTTTTTCAGAGAAGGTGTTCAAAATGTCTACCAGCTTCTCCTACGCACAGGCGGCACCTTTTCTGAACATGTCTTGCCGCATTGATTAGTTCAATGGGCTGAGAGAAGCAAAACTGCATCACTGCCACTTCCAATTCCTGTCTAGAGCTGGTCGGCAATTCAAAAATAAGATCTTTCATCCTTCCCCAGAAGTAAAAGTTTATAGGCGTTAGGTCCGGTGACCTGGCCGGCCAACGGTTGGGACCTTGGTTGGCTATCCAATTATTGCCAAAATTCGCTGCTTGATAATTGTGGACGATTGCAGTGTTGTGAGGGGGAGCCCCGTCTTGCTGAAAATATATTCGCCTGAGCTCCATTAGCGACAATTCGTCACAAAATTTCGTCACAAAATTTCCAAATACCTCTGAGAGGTGAGAGTGTCATTATATATATACGGGCCGATAATTCTACCCCCAAGAACACCTGCCCATACACTAAATCCAAATCTTCCTTGTATTCTCTGCTCCACAATAGAATGAGAAGTCTGTTGTGCCCAAGTATACGAATTGTAGCGGTTGAAAATACCGGCACTGCTCACATAAGCTTCATCTGACCAAATATAATTTAACGGAAAATCACGCACTAGGTTACAATTCTCTAGAAACCATTGGTAGAAATTCATGCGGCGTTCAAAATCTCCTGGTATGAGGTGATGAACTTTTCTGGTCCTGTATGGCTTGAATTTGTGCTTCTTTAAAGTCCGTCTAATGCTACTTCTTGGCAGGCCTGTTATTATTTCCAAATTTCGTGTTGAAGTTCTGGGATAATCTTCAACAGCTCCTACTTCCAAATCCCTATCCCTATTTGTTTCATATACCTTTGGCCTTTTCTTCTCGAATTGACCATCATCAATTAGGTTGCGTCGCAATTTCGCATAAATATCTCTAAATGGTTGTTTTTTCTCTAGATACATCTCGTGGTACAAATCGCTTGCTGCTTCTGCATTTTCCCCGGTTTGTATAAAACAGACTATCATTTCCCATTTTATATAATTTTCAAACTTCATTGAAAATGTGTTTGTGAATTGAACGAAAACCACGAATTGAGGAGCGTCTTATTGCTCTAATATTACTTCGATCATAATTTGACAGCACAGTAAACATTCGATTGTTGTTTTATCACCGCGTCGTCCAAAGCCTACTTGTTCAAGATGTGCGTTTCAAAGTTTAGATGTGAAAACCAAATAAGCTCTGTATTTCAAAGATGACTTCAGTAAAATACCGAGTGTGCTATATTTTTGGAATGGTAATAGAGCAATTGCAGCTGACGTCACAAAATGGCGGACATCAGCTGATCGGGGGACAAACAAAGCATCTGGAAGCGTGGTGAGATGTAGCGTTGCATTGTTTTTTGGTGAATTCTTGTGTTTTTTTGTGATTTTAATGAACTTTGAAGAGTCTAGTGTTCTTCTCAACTATTGACAGTGTATTACCTGTTATAAAGTGTGCTGAGCATATGGACTCATTTTTAACTCTGGAATCGTGGAAATCATCCCTATGAAGAGAGGCAATCCAACTGGCACGTCTCTCCACTCTTGAAGGTTCTACCTTCAGCTGCCTTGTCCGGATTGAAAGAAATCGATAGAATTTCACATCGTCTCGATTAGACATTGCACAACCCACAACCGCACAAAACTTCATAGTACTTTAATCAAAACTGATCCTTCATAAACACATATCTTCAAAACGGATATTCCATGTTTAAAACACTCTACACATCTGTGCACTTTCTTCACAATATTCACAATGAACAAAGAATCGAAATGTTTGAACAAAAAATTACCCAAATTGTTGTTTTTCGCCAAAAATAACTGTTAACAACACATGTACTGGGTGAACAACAAAGAACGGCTGTCGGCCATATCTCAGCAACGAATAATGATACAAGTTTGAGTGGAATAAATCTAACGGTATGCATATCATTACACGATGTAATAGAGAAACACAATCTCAACAGGCCAACGGATACCGCAACATGATAGCTTTTCGCCAACGGAAGATATTAACTACCAAAGTTGGAAGAATGATAGATATGACAGCCGTTCTTAGTTGTTCACCGGGTACTCTTATGTAAAAATGCTCTGTTTGTCTCCCCATCAGCTGTTCGACAAGTGACAGCTCACGTCACTGACGTTGCCCCATTCCAAGCTCTATTGAAATATGCAGAAATATACAGGGTGTTCCATTCGAAAAAAATATTTTCCCGTTATTAACTATTGATATATACTTAAAATTAATTACTTATACCATTGAAAAAGTGCTTTGGAAATGTTTTCATAGGAGCAACAAATTTTCGACAGGAACAAAGTTACAGCAAGTTTTCGAAAATGCACATTTTCGGAAAACATGCTGTAACTCAGAAACGATGATAGATATCGATGTGCGGTTTTCACTATGAAGTTTGTCATAAAAATTCACCATCAGACACGGACATTAATTTTCGTCCATCTAGTTCGGAAATAGGACTTTCCCTTCGAAAGTGTCCAATTTGGCCCACCCTGTACAGAGTCACATTCCATCTGAGTGTGTCCACGTTCTAAATGTTCTTGTTCTAATATAATATACCATTATCAATAGAATATTTGAGAAGTGCACTTGATAATACGCAATTTCGATGTTGGTATGTACAACCATCTGTCCAAATGACGATAGGTTTGCCAGAATCTTCATATTTGTTGAGATGATCTATGAGACAGCTAGCAAAAACTGAGGCTACTAGCTCACCTTCAGATTCTTGCCACCAGTAGGCACCAAAAATTTTCCTTCTTCACCTTTTTTTTAGTCCTCATTTTTTTCCAGCCTTGCTAGTTATTTTCGTTCTATATATATATATATTATCAAAAACCCAATTACCATATAATGGTGTAGAGTAAATAACATTTCATTTCAAATATTCTCTATTTCATGTACAAATTTCGTCCATTCTTTCTTGTTTATTGCCAGATGTTTTGCTTCTTCCCATGTTTTTTCTTTCTTCCTAAGTATTTCTCCTAGAACTCCGTCCCATGTCTTCCTTGGTCTCCCTCGTTTCTTCCTTTTTTGTATTTCCGACTTCCATACTTGTTTTACCGGTCTTGAGTCACTCATTCTTTGCAAGTGACCCCACCAACTCAGTTGACGTTTTTCTATGAAATTGAGTGTTGACTTTATCTCTAGATCTTCCCTTATTTTTATGTTTCTTATTTTGTCTTTTTTTGTTACACCTCTCACCCTTCTGAGGTATTTCATTTCTGTGGCTTGTATTCTGCTTTTTTGTTTCTCTGTCAATACCCAGGATTCACAACCGAATGTTAGGATTGGTCTATAAATTGTTTTAAATATATTAATTTTCGTTTTTCTTGAAATTTCCTTTTTGTTTATGAAAGACTTGTTCATTGCATAATAAAGATTCAGAGTTTTTTCAATCCTATTATTTATTTTTATATCTTGCTCTCCGCTGTCTTCTAATTCTACTCCCAAGTATTTGAAACTCTTCACTTGTTCGATGTGTATCCCTTCTAGTTGTATGTCGATTGTCTTTTGTTGGTCTCCCATTACCATTACTTTCGTTTTATTGATATTTAGTTTCATTTCGTATTCTTCGAGTACACTGTTCCATATCTCCATATTTCTTTGTAAGTCTTTTTCCTTTTCTGCCATAATCACTACATCGTCGGCAAATGCTCCTTCTGATATATCTATCCTGCGAAGGTATCTATATCCTACATGGAGTTTCTTGGCTCTAAGAGAGAATTTCTTGATTACCTCATCAATGTATACCGTGAACAATGCGGGGCTTAGTCCTCCACCCTGTCTTAATCCATCTCTTGTTGAAAACGACCCTGATGTTTTATTTTGGTAAATAATGCGGTTAGTATTATTTTCGTAAATATTTTTTATTATCCTTATTATTTTATTATTGATACCTCTTTCGGCCAATATATTCCATAATTTCTGTCTTGGCACTTTATCAAATGCTTTCTCCAAATCTATGAACCCCAAATACACTTCTTTACATTGTTGCAATGCCTTTTCTGCTATTTGCTTGATCGTGAATATATGGTCTTGAATGCTCCTGCCTTTTCTGAATCCACTTTGTGACTCTTCTAATGTATTTTCCAATATTGGTTCCATTTTTCTATAAATAATTTGTTCATATATTTTCATTGCTGTGCTCAGTAGAGTTATTCCTCTGTAATTATTACAATCTCCTTTATCTCCTTTTTTGTGTATTGGAACTATCGATGC